CTAGCGCTATTATTTTAACATCTCTCCACCCCCAAACCACCTCTCACACTGCTTAAGACATAAAGAAGGAATGAAAGGGAAAGAGAAAGAGGCTTTAGTCTTGAGATAATCATGACCGCACCGAGACGTTTTCACTGTGTGTCTCAGCAGGCTTGGTGATCTGTTTAAACTGGGACGCGGAGTTGATGCTACAGCTGTTGTGGGTGAGTAAATATTATGGTCGGGGGTCACTGTCCTGCTCGCTCGGTCACAGGCGAAGATAAATGAATGGGGTCTCTCTGGTTCTTCGGAGCAGGGGTTTGGTGTGTGTGTGTTGTTCTGTCTCAGCTGAGATTCAAAGGACTTGAGCTCTTGTGCTCCTGTGATTCGTGTTCTCTCCTGATCAGCCTGTTTTTCAGGGTGAGCAGTGGCTCAGACAGCTCTCAGCCCTGCGGCCTGTTTGAGGGTGTGTACTTGCTGTGTGTGTGTGTGTGTTTTAGTAAGGGTGTGATGCTATTTTGCTTGACATCATCTTCAAGGCTGTTGCCTAGAAAGTAGGTTATTCATTTGTCCTCACACATTAGTGAATTATTTCTATTGTCAGAGCTGATTGTGTGTTTGTTTGAATGCCTTGAGATATAAGGATTGATGGGTATGGTTGTTGGTTGAGGTGTTATGCACATTGAAAGTTTGTCTATAACAATTTCGTCCACATTTTCATGTGAATTTTGTGAAAGATTAAAAGAGATTTTTCTAAAACATGAACAAACTACAGTCAAATCATTTACTAAATAAATTGGAAGGATGCATGATGTGTGTGTGTGTGTATGTGTGTATATATATATATATATATATATATATTAACAAACACTATATAGCACTAATAATAAATCAGCATATTAGAATGATTTCTGAAGGATCATGTGACACTTTCAATCAATCAATCAATCATTAAGAAACATTTTATTGTTATTAATTGAAAACAGATGTGCTGCTTATTTTTTGTGGAAATTGTAATATTTTATTCAGGATTCTTTGATTAATAGAAGAATAAAAACAGTGTTTATTTGAAATAGATTTTTTTTGTAACAATGTAAAAGTCTTTACTGTTACTTTTAATCACTGTTACATGTAATCTTTAAAGGGGTCATATGATGCGATTTAATTTTTTCCTTTCTCTTTAGAGTGTTACAAGCTCTTGGTGCATAAAGAAGATCTGTAAAGTTGCAAAGACTAAAGTCTCAAATCCAAAGAGATATTCTCTAAAGTATGAATATTCATTTTTCATAGTGTACATTAAAATTCCTAAATTCCAAAATTCTTGTGTAAAAAAAATATTAGTTTTTAGTGTTTATTTTTTTAGACAAATAGTTAATTTTTAATATCAGCAATTTATCAGTTATCAGCCTTAATGTGAAAATAATTATTGGCTTATAGTCAGAATTGTAATATCATTTTAGCCTTATAAATTAATACCTGGATGTGCCTCAAAAATGTGACTTGATGATTCTCCCTTGTTCTCTTGAACAAATGATCTATTTGACCATGCCATGCATGACACACATGACCTGTGTAGAAACACATCCCGTCACTGATCTTGGTACATGTATACGCACCGCTTTTACAGAACACAGACGTCAACGTTCTGTCTGCGCAAGAGAAAGTGAACCTGACACAAGTGCCCAGATGGCTTCTTGTTTATGTCTCAGACTCAGTCGCAAGAGTTGTGAATAGACTTCTCAACCTCTGTTAGGTAACACAAGGATGAATAAATCCATTTTTATCTTTGCTCTTTTTCAGCACTATAATAAAAAAAAGATTTTTTTTTTTAAAAGGGCCCCAATTAGTGGAAGAAATTTCTAGCATGCTATTCTGAATTCAGTCATTTTTGTGTGACAAATTATGCTTTCTTCAAGCGTTTCTGCATTTATTTGAAGGGAAAAATGAATTTAAACATGAAGAAGGTGTTAAGCTGAACTGAAAGTACTATACTCTTATTGGTAACTGAAAGCATTGTCAAATTAGTCAAGTATATTTTATCAGCAAAACAAGTGGCAGAGCACGTGTAGAACTTCACAAATGAAGGCCATTCCAATCCTGATGAGCAACTTGAACGGATAACACACGTTTCAGACTTGAGATGGTGTAAATCAAAACATTTCCTCATCGAAAACCCCTACAGTGGGTGATTATACTTTCACAGGCTTTTATGGGATGGTGCACCAAACCTCCGCAGCCTTGAGAAGCAGATCTTGTTTACTCAAGACTAGCAGCAGAGAGCGGTCAGGCTCATCTGTGCACAATACACACTTTTCTCTCGCCTGTACACCTGGTGCTTTGTCCTCGCCCCGTGCTGCTAAAGGCAGAGCTAAACACTGCCCCTCCTGACGACATCAAACGAAGAAAGAGAGGGGAGGAGGAGTAGCCGGCTCTTTTGATCTTGCTCTCCTCTGTTTTGTCCTCTCTCAATTTGTCCCCCTCTTTTCCCTCTTTTTTCTGGATGAGATGTTCTCATATCTCTGCCGCAAATTCTGAAGGTGTTTTTATATGCAATGGCTGCAAAACATCTAGAGTACTGCAGTGATTTACGTGTTTTTGTAGGCCAACCTGAAAATCACCCTGATTCCCTTGACAAAAATCCTATAGGATTGTTCCATTGGATTACTGCAAGAAAATAAGCTCTGCGACAAAAGTTTATGATTCTTACATGTTTTGTTAATAATTATAATCTTAACAAATTTACCCAACTTTTACATTTTGATACCTAAATACATTTGCCAGAAGTAAAAAGCTAAGCTTCTGACAACTCTTTCAGTCTTTATTTAAAAATATTTTCCCTGAAAGTTTGAGTTGAATAGTTTGCAAGAGCTCAATTGTGAGAGTTTAAAAGCTTTTTTTTTGTGAGAGCTTTTTTAAAGATCATTATTTTGTGTATTTGGTGTAACAGAATATGTTGACATGCTTTAATGTTCAAAAAACACATTATTTTTCAAATACTGTACATTATTGTAGGTCCTCTATGCCCCGCCTCTCTCAAACACTTAGTTTTCTACAAAGTCCCTCCTTCCGACAAGCGCAGTCTGCTCTGATTGGCCAGCTGACCCAGTGCATTGTGATTGGCCGAACACCGCAAGCACTCGTCGGAAATGTAACGCCCCTTACCATAATCGCGAGCTTCATCTTTAAAAATAAATGTAAAGACAGAGCCCGAAAGGGGAACAGAGTCGCGTGACAGACACAGTGATGAAGCTGGTATGTGTTTGCAGTACACAAGCCACGGTTAAGACAGCTGACTCCACTGTGATGTGACCCCCCCCACTCTCTCTCTCTCTCCCGCGCGCTCTCTTTCTCTCTCTCTCCCTCTCCCTGTCTCTCGCTCTCTCTCTCACACACGCGTGCGCACGCACACACACACACACACACACGATGCGCAAAACTCCGCATTTGAACAGTCAATAGCAAATACTTAAACTAATAACAAAACAGTAGCTGATTCAGAAGCGCCAGATTGTCATAGCAAAGTCAGAATTACCTCCTCTCCTAGGTTCACGAAACGGTCGTCCATAAAATGCATTGCTGTTCTGTTGTAAGTAATCTTAAAGATTACTAAATGCATCTACTTCCGGAAGGCCAAATAAAGTGCTTTTGCTTTCGCCTAGAAACACACAGCGTCTCCCTGACATGGCTGCTTCAACACTAACTGCGGTTACTGAATCCACGCCTTCTTTCTTTGCGTGCACATTTGGGTGGCATTATGCAAATATTTCCACATAGTGAGGTAGATATGTGGGGGCGTGTTAGAACGAGCCGTTTTAGGGGGGCGTGGCAGAGTCCTAACTTTGATAAAGAATATCTCTTTGGTTTTGAGACCAAAAGTCTTTGCAACTTCAGGGATCTTATCTATGCACAATCAGCTTGTAACACTCCAAAGAGAAAGGAAAACTTGAAATCGCATCATATGACCCCTTTAATCATGGACTCAACAGATTCATTAAAAAGTCATTCACAACCAAAACAACATAAAAGCACAGATTTTAAAAAGACAGCAGCTAAATTATATTTTGACAATTGTTCTGTCAGTGATAATAGGATAAAACATATTTATATTGCACTGTGAGTAGATCAGTTTACTTGTTCGGCATGATGTTTAATGTCCCTGACATCCTCTGTAGTCCCATTTAGCCACTTGTTAGCAACCGCCTTTGTCAGTGAAATCTTAGAGGGTGTATTACTGATATATTTTGTGTCATAGAATAAAACATGAATTTATCTTGTGTTTATGTTAACCACATAGTATATTTTAGGCATTTAACCAATAACCCATTAAAAAAACCTTTCAACTGCATGCCGATGTAACCGGAAATGCTAAAATGCTAACTCGTTTCCGGGTTTTGGTCTACAAAAATGTGTCATCCCTGCAGCACTCTGTTTGGATACGTAAGTCACACCACATACATACTTTATATTGCACTGATTGCTTAGAAATCTTTTTTTTAAATAAAAAAAAAAGTTTTGATTCGACGCCCTAATGAACATTTTCCATTGCTGTTTGACAATCAGAAACAGTCAAAATACCTTGTCTTCATTTTGAACAAACTTATCTGTTGATTTATCCTTAAAAGTCTAACAGACTTCCCTACACGTTTTGCTATATTTCTTTGTGTAAATGCCATTGGGTTGATATTTTGTTCAGTGGCATTCATACTTTGTAAGTGTGTCCAAATACTTTTTGGTGCTGCTGTGTGTATCTTGTGTTGGTCTTGGCCTGGGTTCACTTTGAAGATACACATGTTCATAAGTAACGGGGTGAAAAAAAAAAGATTAATCTGTATGTCTGGCTTCGGGCTGTGATAGAAAGCATGTCTGGATCTGTTCAGGCTCAACTCGGATGTGTTTTCTTTTCCTGATGATCGGTAGTACGTAACCCAGCAGAGACGCTAATGGAGCTAATAGTGTGTCCGTTCTGCCTTTAATCGTGCACTGTCAGCCTCCTTGTTGAATGTGTTTTCTGTCTCTCTCAGGTGAGATGGTGAGAGGGGGGAGGGAGTGAGGCCATGGGCTGCACCTCGGCTAAGCAGGTGTCGGCTGTGCCCAACGACGAAGAGGGCCGGGGCAAAGCCTACAGCAACGGAGACCTCTTCACTGGTCAGTTACAAACACACACACACATAACTTCATCAGGAAAGTACACATTCATGTGGAACAAAACAAACAATTTTTTTTCAGAATTATTGAACACTCACTATAGGCTACAGATAATAACGTTAATTGCTTTACCTAAGGATAGCGTATCTAATTTGTAAAAATCTGGACTGGTAATCAAACTATTGTAGGTTTAAATCCTATAATAGGCAAGGCATGAACTATTACCATTCTGGCCTTAAACAAGATGTTTAAAGGAATATCATCATTTACTCACCCTCATGTCATTCCAAACTTGTTTGACTTTCTTCTTTGAAACACAAAAGAAAAATATCTTTTCAAATGTTTTTTGTCCACCTAATGAAAGTCAATAGGGTCCAGTGTTGTTCAGAAGCCAACGTTCTTCAAAATATTGTATGCTCCAGCAGAAAGGAAATCCTATAGGATTGATGACAGAATTTTTATTTTGGGGGTTTAAAGGCATGGTAGGTGATTTGGTTCAAAAACATTTTTTGTTATGCTGGTTGAAAGTGTCTTCACATCCCGATAACAATCACAATAAAAAGTTAAGTGGTCTATATCGTCTGTGGAAGGCGTACACTGTAAAAAATAAATAGTTGAGAAAACGTAAAAAAAAAACTATTGTTTTGAGTTCTCTCAACAATAGTTTTTCATTTCTTCTCAGTAAAGATACATCGTTTAGCCAGCGTAAATTTGTTTGTTCATACAATGCTGATTGTCTTATTTTGCTAATAGAAAAATTCTTGTCACAGCAACTGAAACAATAATTGCTGTCGTTGAGGTAATTAATTTGTTTCTGTTTCCTGGATGAAAAAAAAATGTTGTATAAAAAGTCACCACATTATCAATGTTATGTTTATTTACGAATGGTAAACAGTGAATTGTTATAGAAACCTTAATGGATAACTTAGTCTAATATGTAGACAGCATTGTCTTTGTTTGTTAAACATCTTACAAGACTAAGATTTCTAGGAAATGGATATAAGTGGTTGAACATACTCTAGGCCTCAAAACACAAACCTCAAGAACGGTGACACAGTACAACAAATAACTACAATAATGACAAAACGACAACAAAAAAGTTTAAATGAAGTCAGCAAACAGCAAAACAATAATCCTATAACAGTAACTGCATAATTTATTCATGCTGCAATGCATGCTGGGAACTGACAAGGTCTTAACATTTCAACAATATGAAATTCTTTGTTCAGACAACTGTGTTTGACTAGTTGGGACAACATTTGAGGTAATTTTGTTGGTCTGTCAAGGGTTGTTATGTAGTTTCAAGAAAATAGCATTTTTTTTTAGTGTTTGAGACTCAATGTTTCCTATACTCGAAAATATGCAGTTGCATTTTTTTTACAGTGTAGGACCATAAAATGTTCGTCCAATCATATTTTTTGATCCGAGGACTATGATAGGCTGTTCTACCTGCCGGTCAACATATGTATTTGCATATCTCCGCTCACCCTTTTCATGCTGTCTGACATTATACGTCATCAGCGTGCTCCATTGCGCTATTGCAGACCGAGCGAGAATGAAAGACATTATTACTGTAATATTATGCGCTTTGTACTGTAATGTTTTCTCACCGGTGAATGAGACATGAAGTAATCTGACAGCATTGAGTTTTTGTCTTTCATTGTGACGCTGGTTTGCCTCTGGTCTACCTGTGTGTGTTCATGTGTTTTGGGGTAGGCATAGCTTTGGAGAGTAAATAAGAGAGTCCGCTCAATGATTAATTGGTAATTTTCCATACAACTGGCTTTTATGTGTCCAAAATTAAAGGTTTTTATTGGACGTCACTGTCCACAGTCTCTTAAATATCCAGAGATATGATTCATTTCCATCGGAGGCTGTCACATTTTGAGAATGTAATTTCTCCACTGGACTATTGTTGATGGATAAGAGTCTGCTTTTCAGTCTGTTTTTTTTTTGGCTTTGTCCCAGTTAATATACTTGGACTATGCTTTACATTCATGTACCTTGCTAATAAGGGGAAAGTGTACACTTTGGAATGTAGTACACCTTATCATAAAATTGCCTTGATTACAAAGACCAACCTCTGTTGTGTGTACTGTTTGCGTGCAAGCATTAGCTAAATTTGTTATCTTAAAACTACTTTCAAGTTCATACATGGTTTAAACATGACTCTTCTCTTTCATAGGGTAATCGTGGGTAATATTAGCTCAAAACTGGGCTTTTTTGGTATAGTTTAGTGTACTATGATTTTGGATGTGTATTTGAAAGAGTCAGTGAAGGATTTTTCAAACTGGTAACCTGTGAGTCGAGTAGTCTTTTTGAACGATTCATTAAACAAACCAGCTCAAGTCACAAGAGTCATTGGCTAGTGAATTGGACTACACTTACTCAGACTGTATGTTTTTGATTCAGTAAAACAAACTCTTAAGAGTCATTTGGCAGTAGTTGTTTTTATTGCTGGCCAACCCTATGCTTGAAGCTAAATGCAAAATGTAATGCTTTGAATAGTCAGTTGGAACAGGCTCCAGCAGTGATGGCTCCATCCATGTTATTCAAGCAGACCTGATATGTGGGAAGTAATTCAAATGTAAGGGACAGACAGACATCTTTGAACATCGCTGGCATTGACATAGGCTGTTTTTACCAATCATTCAAGACTCATTCGAGATTAAATGTTAAGCAGAACAAACAGCCAGTTAAGTAATTTATGTCCAGGCAGTGAATAATGCTTTACAATGTTTTGGGAAGCTGATTACATTCTGGGAATTCTTGGTTGCATCCTTCTGAGCAGTCATACTGATGTGTGTGTCTATGTAAAGACTGTCAGCTACATCTGTGCCAACAGGCGTGTGTTTTGAGGATAACGTTATCAGCTGGAGTGAGTGACGACTCATTCCTGTGAGTGTGTTCACGGAGTTTTGTGTGTGTGAGAGGGTGTAAATATGTTTTAAAGGGTTTAGATAACAGCAGCGCTTAGTGTGCGACCTGTGAGAGAGTGACAGAGATTATAGGAGATTAAGAATTCGGGGTAAAACGGCAGAAAATCCACACAGGAAACTCTCGATGAGCAGCCACAGGAGGCTGCCGCCTACCCGCTCTCCCTCTCTCTCCCTCTTCCTGCCATGTTCTTTTCTCTGTCTCTAAGGATTCCGAGTGTGTGAGATGGTGGGGAACGGTCTGAGAACGAGGGAGAGAGTGAGTGACGTGGGATCACAAACTCCCTTTTTCCTCCCCTGACATTTATCCCTCCCTCTGCATATCTGTCGTTCTTCTCAAGGCCACACTTTCCTTGTTTCCTTCCTTTCTTTGCGATGGGCTGTCTCCTTTTCATTATTCTGCCTACTTTTCTGCCTGCCTTCCCATTACCTAAGCTATTTTACTTAATTCTCTCTTTTTTTTCACCCATGGTATCCCTTTCTGTTTCTCATACAGTGTTCTCTTTAGCCATGTTCAAGAGAGAGTACTTCCAAATCACTAATATTTCTGTTGTGTATATATAGTATGTACTGTACATAGCCGGTCAAAAGTTGGGGATCAGCAAATTTTTTTATTTTTATTTTTTGAAAGAAATTAACAGTTTTATTCAGCAAGGATGCATTAATTTGATCAAGTGTGACTTTCTATTCATCAAAGTATCCTGAAAAAAGTATCATGGTGTCTACAAAAATATTAATCAAAACACAACTGTTTTCAACATTGATAATAAAAAGAAATGCTTCTGGAGCATCAAAAGCAGCATGTCCGAATGATTTCTGAAGGATCATGTGACACTGAAGACTGGAATAATGGCTGCTAAAATTTTGACATTTGACATTGTAGGAATAAATTACATTTTTAAAATATATTAAAATACAAAACAGTTATTTTAAATTGTAATAATATTTTGCAGTACTACTGTTTTTTTCTTTATTTCTGAGGAAATAAATGTAGCCCTGGTGAGCATATAAAGCAACATTTCTCATTTTTGTGAGGTATTTCATCTATTATTTATTTATTTCAGCTATATTTCAATTGCCAAAAACTATTTTTAATCATTTTAGTTAACAAGAACACTAGCTAGTATACCATTTTAATCGTACATATTTGCTGCTTTTGATGAAGAACTTATTGACCAATAATAATGTACATAATATACGAATGCATGTGTGTATTATCAATACAATTTGAACATGCTACATCCACAGTGTTAACACTGTCATGTGACATCAGCCTTATTGTTTTTCTCCACTGTTTAAGAACACTAACTCCTGTCCCGTGGCCTCGTGGGATAGTGGCGTTATTTAGCTAATCATTTGACAATGTTTTGATCATAGGGAAGTACCGGTAGTCATGTAGGGGCTACTTCTCTGAGTTCTGCACTTCCTCTTGTTATGTTTTGAGGATGTGAGTGTTTATACTGTATCTTCTGGTCCTCATCTCTTTCTTTCTGTGTGTGAGATCTGTAGGCTCATGTGGCGTTCTGATAATCTGAGTGAACTCTAAGGCACAACAACAGATTGATGAGTATTATATTCACCAGTGCGAACAGAGCAGTGACCTGGTTACTGTGGATTATTGCGAACTCCCCCCTTCTTCTCGCTCTATCTGTCTATCTTTATGTCTCTCACTCGCTCTTTTTCTCTCTTTCTGCTGCCAGCCCGATGTCCTTCATTCCACTGCCCTTCCCGGCTGTCAGTCAAACAGCTCTATCAATAGAACAGAGGGAGACGGCTTTCGCCCCTCTCTCTCTCAACACTCAGCTCTCGCCCTGGCTTGATTAGTGCCAACAGACTTTACTAGTCAAACTGTGTCAGTGTTCAGGCAGTGATTGTGTATGCGTGTGTCCTCATCTGTGATTCAGCGCTTAGTCGATCCCAACAACACACAAGATCTCCGGCACGCACAATGACAGGAAAGGCCGAGCTGCCCTAATACAAACAAGAGAGGCAGCAGGCGGAGAATATGCTGTCTGGTTACATGTGAGCTGCACTGAGCTGTTGAGATTGGTGTGTGAGTGTGCCGCCAGTCTTTAACGGGGCATTCACGTTGACGCCGATTTGCACCGACAAAGTGACCAGAAGACATTTGATTTTCAACAAGAGCCGGCCATATCTGACGTGACCGACAGTCAGCGACCGTTTGCAGTGCAATGAGAAAAGTTTACTAGTTCTACTATTAAAACTGGGTGTTGATTCATCTTGTTACTTGGTACTGTATGTTATAATTTACATTTTACTTTAGTTTGAAATAAATTATCTTCGGATGATGCTGTAAGTTGTTTCAGATGCATTTAATCCAGTAACTTGTCTTTTTGACCTATTTATTAAAAGAACCAGCTTGTAAGAGTCATTTGTTTTTTGAATCTGGCTACTGCGCATTTTGCATCTTTGATTTATTAAATAGAACGAGCACATAAGATAATTTTTTAAATTTTATTCACACTACATTGTTGCATGCCGTTTTAATATGATGTACTGCATGTACTATTATAGTATTTATTTAAAAAAAAAAAAATGTACATTTTATTTTTTCCGTTTTTATTAGTTGTTTTTTAATATTTCTTTGTTGCTATAATTTGGTTTTTATTTCAGTTTTAGCACTTTAACTTAAAATGAGAAATTTTGCCTTGACAACTAACTAAAATAAAATAAGTTTTTAGTCTGAAATGAAAATGATTTTTAATAGATTAAGTTAATGATAACAATACTCTTGCACACTGTATGTTTGTTTTTTGAGTTTTTTTTTTTGCGATTACTTCCTGGTACAGTCTTTTATTGCATAATCAATACATTCTGCAAACTCATATTCATAATTCAAGTAGAGTAAAAGATCGATTTTGGGATTTTAGGAATAGGTATAGAATCCATGTTAACATTTATTATAAGCAATTTCATTGTTTTATATTATTTATTCTGCATGATTTAATATCTTCCGGTCATTGCAAATGCATTTGGCAGATGCTTTTATCCAATGCAACAATATCAAGGTTTACATTAATATGTTTGTTTTTCCTATAAATCAAACCCATGACTTTGGGGTTGCTAGTGCCTTGCATTACCAACTTAGCTTTATTAAGTTTGCAGGGTGATTTAGTTTTAGAAAAAAAATGATGCATGGAAAACTCCGATATTGCCAGCATTGATTCATGCATCAATATGATGCATAATGCATTTCAGAAATGTTACTACAGTCAAATCTTTCCCCTCCATTTGATTCTAGAGACAAGAAAACTGATTTATTTCCATTTAATTGTAATCAGATTATTGCTAGTTTTGCAAGTTAACAATAACAGGCCACCCAGCAGTAGGAACGCCCTATATGGCCCAATAATACAGCCACTCATCGACCTGCAGCGATAAAACCACTATATGTTTGAACAAAGCATAAAAGGGTGTGTGTGTACACATGGCTTACTGTCAGGCTGTGGTTAATACATTTCATACAGTGACTGCGTTCACAAAGCGACTGTTTAGCTAATGTTTTTAACAGCAACGGACGTACAGTAGCACAACAGATCATCTCGGTGACACTCTGCCTTCTGAGGTTTAGACGCATGACTTCAGATGTTTAACAACTGATCTTTAACCAGAGGCGTGGTATCGGTCATGTGTCTAAAGGTAGCGCAAAACGTGTGTCTCTTGTTTTTTTTTTTTTCGTAACTCTTCTCTGTTCCGCCATAACGTTAGCGAGTAATCTTCCACCTACTATCAAAGAGAGTGCGAGATTGACAAACTCTCCTCCTTTGCGGTGGACTCACTGTGTTAACAGACGCCCACTTACAGAATAGCTTCAGGGCAAAGCTTCTCCACACTGATTCTAAAAGTAAAGCAGCCCACTCATGTTCCTCAGACACGCCACTCACAGCACTGAACACATCTGAAATTAGGCCAGAAGGTAAAAGTGAGAGGAAGACGGGCTTGTGGGAGCTGTGTTGTCGTCCGATTTGTTTCGATTTAGCCGAACGAGCAGCCAGACAGCTAAATTACCTGGTCGTCAGAAGGCATCTTGTCACGAACACAGAAAAAGAGAAGAATAAACATGGGAGGCCTAGTGATTAGCATGTATGGTGTGATGTTGCTCTGAAAAAGTAAATACATTTTTTCAGCTTTATTTTAAAGAATGGGGGGGCTTTACATGCTGCAGTCTCAAGAAATTGTCAGAAATTATATGTAATAAAATTATTTACATGGTTTATGTAAAGCAGAATGGTAAGTATTTTCTCTATAATTTGCTAACATCATATTGACCCCTTTTTGCTAAGTAGATATAAAATGTTTGATGAGGAATCAAGTTCCTTGACATTATTCATTCATTTATTCATCAGAAGGACTAACAATAAGTATAAAATGTAGAAAAATATCCCAAACCCTGAGCTGTGTGTAGCACCTGTCGTTCTGCACATCCATCTGAATGATACCAACATTAAGAGAGTGATTGAAGTTTATTTTTAACAACATGCTTGATCACATCTAACCTTAAGCATGTGGTTTTTTATTTATTTATTATTATTTATTTATTTTAATTTTTGCAAAAAGGTTGTTCATTAAAGACGGGGCAAAAAAGCAGTTTTGAACCCAACAGCAAACTCCCTGATCGTGTCTGAACATAATTAATCTTCTTTCTGCTCATTTAGTGAAAAATGAAAAAAATAAATGAGTTATTTAGAATGCAAAAAAGACTCTGGGATCTAATTGAGCATTTTTAGTGACGCCATAAATGAATGACTGCTTTTGTGTGTGTTTTGTTTTTTGAAATTGGCAGTTGGTTCACATAGTTAGAACTGCCCAGCTCTATCTTCAGGGGTTAAACACTGAAATGGAAAAATCGGAGATGGTGTAAAAATATCTTTGCCTTGGTACTGTCATACTCATGAGTCATGACACAAGAAGCAGGCACAGAACTGCCTACCATCACAGCCTTAAGAAATTGAATGGCCTAATAAAAGGCACATAAAATCACCTCTATTCAGAGTGTTTAATTTTATGAATAAAATATTTATATATAAATATTCACTACCCTGCCATTCTTTAACACATCCCATGATGCTCATAAATCCAGCTTGCAACATTTCTCATTCTCCCTATCATTTTCTATCCTCACTCTACTTCAATATTATGTCATACTTCAATATAATAGTTTAAAATAATAAAAGTCGCACAGAGGCCAACCTTATTTCTGTCTACTGAGAAAGCGAGCGTCCTTCTAACCATCAGGTCCTAAAGGTCGGCATCATGCTGTTATCACTAATTAGCCAATCGAAATATCCCTACATAAGAGAACCTCTCATCTTATCGGCAAAAATAGTCAGTCTGGAACATACTAAACTGACAAAATGTCACTCTCTCTCATGGTGAGCAACTCCAAAATCTTCCGTTTCTCTGAGATGCGTGCTTCACGGATGATTCTCGTCCTGTAAATATGGATTAGGAATGATATGTTCCTCAGATCTCCTTTTTTAGTAATGCTATCACCCTACTTGCGTACATGCGAGTGTGTGTGAGAAGAGAGATGTATCCATATGTATGCATGTATATGCTCTTTGAGAACCAGGAGGCCTGTTTTGTGTAACACAGAACAGCCAAATCAATTAAAGTTTGGTTTTAATTTGCGTGTGATGTTTCTCCTTGGTTTGGTTGAGTGTGTGTGTGTGTTTGTCAGCATGTTGAAGCGTGGTCTTTTGTGCAGAGACATGTTTACATTCCTCAAGCTGTGAAAGACTGGCGGCGTTGCTCTCTCTCCTTTTATATTCCTCTTTTTTTTTTTCTCCTTTTTCTCACTTTTTGTGCTTGTGCTGATGGGCCGCACTGAGTAACATTCACAGGCTGCCCACTCCAGCTGTCATGATGGTAACTGACAGGGAGTTCACAGCGAGAAAAGAAGAGAAAGACGGATAGAGGCGAAGATAAACAGAGATTGAGTGGGCTGTGATTGCTTCACGCTGATTTGTAGACGGAGTAAAAGACGGATTTATGTATATGTGTGGGTGTGTGTATGTGTTATGAGGAAGTGAATGCATGGACATGCAAGTACGTACATGGCCGCTGGTAATTACCGATGGCTGGGAAAGGGCAAAATCCAAAACGTTCATCTGTTAGAGCTGTTGTTTCAAATGTGAATTCTCTCACTCACATTGTTCCAAACCAAAAAAAGGTGTTGAAGAATATGACCTCTCTTTTCAGTATAATGAGAGTGAAGGTGGAATAAAGCTGTCAAGCTCCAAAATTACAAAAAGCACCATAAATGTATGTAAAAGTGGTCCTAAAACTGAAGACCGAATATATATGTTGTATACCGTATACATATACAATGTAAACACATACAGTGGCTGTTTGGGCAAGTTCATGAGAGAAGTGTCTATGCCTGATTCATGAATGATTCATTCTTTTGAATCGGATATTTTCAATGAATCTGATGTTCATGAATCAGACTGATTTGATTCTCAAGTTCAACTCACTGACTCAGTACAACAGTTAGTTGAAGGGCAAGCTGATCAGACATTAATTACCTTTCTTTTCACACAAATCTATCATCTATATAAGACTTTCAATATACCACAAGTCATACGGGCTATTTTATGAAACTTTTATGGTGATTTTGTGTCTTTTACACAAAGTCCCCATTCATTGTAACTGAATGGAAAAAAATACCAGTACGTTCTTTGAAGTGTTGTCTTTTGAGTTCCACTTAAGAAAGAATATCATATAGGTTTGGAATGACATTATGATAGAAGTTTCATTTCTCTGTGAATCTTTTCTTTAACAGTACAAGAATGAACCTCTTATTTGTGTTTCTCTTGCTATCATTGTAGATGAATATAAGATGAAGGGAGTGGAGGAGGTGAAGTACATGCGTGGAGAAGAAGACCGAGTAAACGCACGCAACCAGGAGAACCTGGTGAGATACAAAACATGCCTGCGCAGTTGCGCACACACCTGGGAAATTCTTCCTGTGCAGTGGTGTCCATCATATTTTTGCTTAGTATTTTCACACACACACACACACACACCGCTTGAGGCTCATATGCCTGTTGTTGGCTTATACATTGAGAGGTAAAACTAAGCGTATGCAGTGCACACGTGTGCCGACATGTTTGGAATGTGGGAGAGGGAAATTCTAAAAAAATTTTCCTCTTTTGTCACAGACTCCCACTCTCATGCTTTGACACTCACATTACCAGACAAAATGTAATATTCTGGAGTTTCTACATGCATCTTTTCTTACAAAATTTCAAAAATTTGGGAAAAAATTCTCGGATGTCTGGACTTATCTGGACTGATTCTTTCTCTGAGGAAGCTATGTATTCTTTTTCTTAATAATACTAATGATTTTAGAGATTTTGTTGTTTTTGAACCATAAAACAATACACTCTTACACATGCATATTGTGTTTTTTTTTTGGTTTTTTTCTCCGCTTAACTAATAATGTTAAGGTTTCTTGTATAATGACCTAAGCTGTCTGTTTAGCTACTTTACTTTTAACACTATGTAAATTACCCTGTTATGATTGGCTAACCTTTTCACCTGTTAAAAGAGTAATAATGTCACTGCCAAGTTATTAAATATTGGCATTGACATGCAAATGTGGGTCATCATATGTTAATGTTATATGTTAATGTGCTCAGTGGGGGTGTAAAATGCTTCATTACTTTTTTATTTCTTATCCAAAATACAGTTCTCAACATATTTAAAATGTAATAATCCACAATTTCAGATTCCCAATGTATTTTTTGCATGGAAAACCTTGAAAATAATTATATTATATAATGATATATATCAAAACAATCAAATAAAACTTCACAAATTTCACATGCATCATATAATTTAGTGATCATCATAAAATTATTGTCCTGTTTCTACCCCTTTTTGCATCTTAGTTTCCATAAATTATCTGCTTGCATTGTGAACGAGTGTGTCCACCTGCCAAGTTATTAAATATTGGCATTGACATGCAAATGTGGGTTTTTATGTTAATGTTATATGTTAATGTGCTCAGTGGGGGTGTAAAATGCTTCATTACTTTTTTATTTCTTATCCAAAATACAGTTCTCAACATATTTAAAATGTAATAATCCACAATTTCAGATTCCCAATGTATTTTTTGCATGGAAAACCTTGAAAATAATTATATTATATAATGATATATATCAAAACAATCAAATAAAACTTCACAAATTTCACATGCATCATATAATTTAGTGATCATCATAAAATTATTGTCCTGTTTCTACCCCTTTTTGCATCTTAGTTTCCATAAATTATCTGCTTGCATTGTGAACGAGTGTGTCCACGTAGTACATTTCAAATAGAGCAGGAAAAATCCTTTTTCCATGATAATTCCCCCTTTAAACTGCCAGGCTTAATGAAGTTGTACAGGCAGAGCAGGTGTTCAGATGCCCATGTTCCGATAAGGGGGGTGAGAGGAGAATAGAGACGCAGTGAAAGCGAGGGCAGCCCTCTCTCTCGCTGTCTCTCAGCAGGGCAGCATTCTCATTAGCAGTGGCCAGAGGAAGGTCACTCCCAGGGCCTCTGTATCACGCTGTGTTCCAGGCGGAGAAGCTGGTTCTGGCCCACGTCCAGAAGCTGACAGGGCCTCTGCACCAGAGGGCCACCAGGGACTGAATTTGGCTTTGTTTTGAACAGTAGTAAGTGAAAACGTGTTCATTCCGGGTGTGTTTGCAGGAGAAGAGCTCGACGCAGCACAGGACCAAACAGCACAAAGAGGTGCCTGGGCCCAGCGCCAACAAGACGAAGTGAGTGGGTTTATACATGTGTCATTCTGTTTACGGTGTGCGTGTGTTTCTGTTTGTTTTGTGTGTGCGTGTGAGGGCATTAAAGTTCTTGCTCTGTCGAAAACGTGCCAGAAGTCTGTAAATTGTGTGTGGTTTGTTTTGCTTTGTGGCCTGTCTTATCCCCTCTGGATCTCATTTGCATGTTCTGTTCGAGCGTGATGTGCCATGTTTCGTAACTTATTGTATGTAAACATGATGTTTCTTGCCTTCGGATGTAATTGTCAGTTTCAAAGTGATTTATTGCCATAATTATTTCTAGTGAAATTGCATTTCTAACGCATCAATAACACAATTGTGATGTAAATAAAGAATAAATAAAAAGGCTAACACTTTATAATTTTTTTTTGTTAAAAGTCATTTAAAGGAATAGTTCCACCATAGATGAACATGTCATTTATTCACCCTCATGTAGTTTTAAACTATTGATGACAACTGAACTGGAAAGAAAAACTGCGATATCATTTTCGTGAATTTATTTGGCCACTATAATTATGTAGTGAAAATCGTGACAGCCCTATTTGAAACCCATATTTTCTTTATTTCCATGAAAATGCAACAAAATAAATGGAGAGTGGACCTATTGAGCTCCAAAAGTTACCAAATAAGATTTTCAGCAAATAATGACTAAAATGTTTGTTTATTCCTTAAACAGAGGTGTCGTAAACTACAAACATATTATTATTATTATTATTATTATTATTATTATTATAGAGCAGCATGAACTTTCTGCAAAATATTGTAGTGCTCAACTGAAGAAGAAAAGATACAGGTCTTATTAGAAAATCAAGGTAAATGAAGTAAGAACTAAATAACTTTTGGGTGATACGTTTAGCTATTTATTAAACATTTAGCATGAGATGAAAATATGTTTCAAAACATCTACAACTATTTACGTGTAAACTAATTTATGATCTGTTAACCATTAATATTTTATTTGGTTATGACTTAATGGACTTTAATTTTCACTGAGCTTTGAATGCTACGAACACATTAAACAGAAAGCTAATACATATGGTGTTCAAAATGTCTGGAGGTAAAGAAATTGTGTTTGAGGGAATGTTCATTAAGAATGAACAGTTCATTATCGTTTTGTGTGTGTCGATGGAGTAATGCTCAGTTAATGTGCTTTGTGTGTGTGTGGAGGCAAGGGTTTATAGTCCCTGCTGTAATGTGTCTATAAAAATTATTCCTGCCCAGACACTCTGGATCCTACAGGAGTTGGTAGCTTTGTGTGTGTGAGAGAGTGTGTATTTGTGTTCTTTATGCTTGTTGTAATGGAAAATTCTAGTGTATATGTTGCTTCCCTTCTCCTACCCCCACTAACTTCCTCTCTTTCTCTCTCTCCATCTCTCTCTCTCTCTCTCTCTCTCTCTCTCTCTCTCAGCATACATACGTCAGAGAGTCAGCAGGAGTTCTTCAGAATGCTGGATGAGAAGATTGAGAAGGTAAGGGAGGGAGGAAAAGAATGAGGCACAGAAGTAAAGCAGGCAGCAGATGGGTAGAGATTTTAAAGGGCCAGTGTACATTAAACCACCCTTCAGAGGACTGTTCATTTATCTAGATTGTGACATTTAAAAGATTGTTTTGTCCTTCAGACTGTCTGGTACTTCCTGTAGACCTCTGGAGATAAAATTATATATTTATGGCTCTGCTTTTTTCCCAGTACTTCCTTCTTTCCCTCTCTTATCTGTCTTTGTCTCTCTCTTGAGGTCTGAGATCAATTGGAATAAAATTTATTAAAGGGGTCATATGATGCGATTTAAATTTTTCCTTTCTCTTTGGAGTATTACAAGCTCTTGGTGCATAAAGAAGATCTGTAAAGTTGCAAAGACTAAAGTCTCAAATCCAAAGAGATATTCTTTATAAAAGTTAAGAGTCAACCACACCTACCTAAAACGGCTGGTTCTAACACGCCCCCACATGTCTACGTCACGATGTGGGAAGATTTGCGTAACGCCGCCCAAATGTTCACGCAAAGAAAGAAGGCGTAACTTTTATTCTCACTGTAGTATTGTTGTTGCCGCCGCCGCCATGTCGTGAAGGCGCAGTGTTTCGTTGTGAAAGCTAAACTACTTTGTTTGGCCTTCCCTAAGAGGACGATATCTGCTTTGTCATACCTGGAGCTGATCCGTGCTGAGCAGCATCATATGACCCCTTTAAATCTAAACATTTTAGATTTTGTTTTAAATAAGACAGGGTTATGTAAGGGTTGTAGCGCTTTTATACTGCAAAAAAAGTCTCATTTAGAAGTAGCTATCTGCATTTCATAAATGATGAAATTGTATCTCTTTGTTCAGACAGTGTTGTCAATATATCTACATTGGTTGTAGGGCTGCACGATAAATCGCATGCGATATTTAACGCGCATCTTGTCAGTAAAGTCGGTTCTTTAATCAGCGGTAAATCTCCATCACGTGCGGGCTTTCACATGGAGCAGCATTAACTACACAGAGCTGTTGTTCACCGACAAGCTGCGCAAAACCACGATCATATTTTGCGCATGTTTTGCGCAGCTTGTCGGTGAACAACGGCTCTGTGTAGTTAATGCTGCCATGTGAAAGCCCGCACGTGATGGAGATTTACCGCTGATTACAGAATGGCTTTACTGACATGATGCGCGTTAAATATCGCATGCGATTTATCGTGCAGCCCTAATTGGTTGCCATATAATCACCTGACCATCTACATGTTTAAAGTTTAATCTGACTTTAAATCAGGTTTGTAAAAATCAGATTGTGGTAAGTTTATATATTTCTTGCAATTGCGAGAGAAAAGTCGCAATTACCTTTTTTTATTCTGTGGCTTAAACAAGAAAAACAATTGTGAGATGTGAACTCAGAATTCTGAGATAAAAGTCAGAAGTGGGAGATTTAAACCTTTTTATTTCTTATTCAGTGCCAGAAACTAGCTTCCATAAGCAATCTGTTCTCATCCATAGTTGTTTAATATTCATGAGGAACGGGATTTTGGTCTAATGAGTTTTATTTGTGGTTGGAGCAACTGCTTATCACTCTTGCTGCTAGTTAGGACAGAAACTCAAATTCACTTATAGCATTTTTATTTAATCTTTCTCTCTCTCCATATTTTTTAGGGGCGGGATTACTGCTCAGAGGAGGGAGGAGGAGGATGTGACATAGCAGAGAGGCGCCAGATCTTGCCAGAGATGGAAATAGAGAGAGTGTGAACTCAAAAAATCAGTGTTTCCTATGTCTGTAACACTCTGTCGGTCTGAGAGCGAGTGTGCGTGCGAGTGCGTGAGAGCGTGTACTTGTGAGAGCGAGAGAATGCAGGACTTTTCCTCATGGGCTGTTGCACCCTTGACCCCTTCTCCTCTCTTGGGGTTGCCTTGCTTGGAGATCTAGATGGTTTTGAGTGAAGAAAGAACAGCTTGATTGATGTATTATCAACACCGACTCACTCTGACGTGAAATGAGGACCCCCGTCCCCCTCCGCACCTCTCCTCCTATGGCCAGCATTGAAACGACCCCCTTCCTCCGCCTGGCTGTGACGGAAGCCATCTGAGAGAGAGAAAAAGAGATTATGTCAAGGAGAGTGAGATGAAAGGATATGGAGAGAAAAATGATGACATGCCCCTCCCAGTCCTTGTTTTAAGTGGCAGGCCAGAGAAAAACTGACATATGGAGGAACCAGAAAAGAGCTTACGAACATCCTCTAGAGATAACGGGGAGTGAATGTAAAAATGGAGTGTTGTGGGTTTTTGGGGGGAGAAATGATTGAACGAGAGATATTTTATGAAGAGCGACTATATGAACGAACTGGCTGATTATTTTTATATTTTGATAAGAGCGTCGTGGCAAGTTTTTGAACATACCTCTTTAAGATTGTGCTGAAAAGGTCAGGACTGTACGGTGACCCCATAACACACTAGCACACTCGCTCTCACACAGAGAAAGACTTAAAGCTAAAATTATCACCACACCCTCTTTCTACACACAGGTTCACACTTTCATTTTGTATAGCCTGCTATTATTTGTAAATTTCTCTGAAAATTAGTTACCCACACACACATCCAAATATATCCCTTACAGCCACCCGCAAACTGGCAGCATTTAACTTAAAGATCCGTATTGACTGTTTATGCTGCCCTTTAATACAGGTAATGGACTGTGAAGAGACTATGGCAGAGAACTGGGGTTGTCTGTTTTGTTTTATGTGTTTCGAGGGCTGTATTTGTGTTAATCTGTGTCAGAGAACCAGGTCTTACTGTGTTAATCGTTGTCAAAGGGATGAGGTGTTTGTCTTAGGCCTGTATGCGTTTAGCTAGTGTTTACCTCTATTTCTCACCCTGCTTTTCTTACTCAAAAGTATTCAGTCGTGCTGGCTAAAATGAATTCTCGTTGTCTCTTACAATTCATAAACATATTCTAGACTTAAACAGTATGAGGTGGGGTGGGGTCACTTTGGGGGACACAATGCTGGCCAAGCATCTGTCGTTATGATTACTGGATTGATTCCTTTTTAATTTTTATTTTCAATGTTTTCTTTTTCTATTAAAATATAAGACACAGGAGCTGTGGTTTCTGTGTGCTGTCTCACCGATTAATTTGTGTGTGGTTGTTTGTGTACTGCTTTGCTGACATCATTAATCCATTACAGCGTCATATTTCCTGTTGGTGGTCTGACTCATAACGTTAAAAATACTTAATGGGTTCTGGGGTCGAATTTCAAATGCAGAAATGTGCAGATCACATTTCCACCATGGGTTAATATCAAACCGTACAAATGTTTAACTATATTGTTAAAATAGCTGTCCAACAGCACGTCTTTTCGGAGAATCCACACAGAGACGAGACATTATATGTTGACAGACCAACGCGAAGCATATGTGCGTTTTAATTTCACTTACTACTTGTGGTTTGTCTCCACCTGCAGGTTGAACAATGGAGCTGAACTATGCTGGAAATGTATAAAATGCTATATTATTCGATTAAAATGTATATAATTGTATAAAATTAACGTGTATGTTTTAGATTTCATGACTGTTCACTATTTAAGCTTTTCAGTCCTTTTCATCACTTTGATGCCTTTACTAGGCTACTTCATTTGAGTTGCTAGTGCACCGGTGGACATTTCAGGGTATTTAGGATATTCTGACACATTACTGTTTCCAGTGGTTAAACTCTAATATGCTCCTTCCACAGCTTTAATTTACTTGGTGCTTCTAGAGAGTCTGTGTGTTTATTAATGCTTAAATCTCTCGTGCAGCACAATTGGAAAAAATGGACAAGCAGAAAGTGCCACAAACAATACATGTTTGAGAGGTAAAATTAATAGTAAATGTCTATAACTCTAAAACTTTTTTTTTTATTTACTTTCTGTTGGATTTATGATTAGCAACATTTCAATCCCAAAGAGATTGAGGTAAAAAAAAAAAAAAAAGATTTTGTGAGCCGCAGCCAATCAGTGTTTAAGGTTTATTTATTCATGTATATGTAAACTTTGTTAATATGTAATATGTCTTTTGTGTATTAAATATTTATAATATATTTATATAGCATATTATTAAAAGTTAGGGGTCAGCGAGATTTTTGTGTTTTTGAAATAAGTCTCCTATGCTCACCAAGGCTGCATTTATTTGATCAACATACAGCAAGAACAGCAATATTGTAAATCTATTTCACAATTTAAAAGAGGTTTTGTCTGTTTTAATGTTTTTAAATGTCATTCATTCTATGCTTATTTGGTGCTCAAGAAACATTTCTTATATTATCAATGTTGAAAACAGTTGTTATATATATGTATTCTATCCAAACTGATCATTTTGATATATCATAGTTCATTATAAAAACAATTTACATAACAAAATTAAACTAAAAATAAATATGAACTATATGAAATAAAATAATAAAGAATATTTCAAAGATACAATTTGCACAACATTTGTGATCAAATTTAAAATAAAAAAAGATTGCCCTTATTTTTTGACAAGAGTACATTCCATGTAAACTGTCAATCTATCTATTTTTTTTAATCACATATTACACATGCATAACCTGTGGATATTTTATCTATAGGGTGAAGGCTTCATTTGCTTTTTCATACAGCTCTGCATGTGGAGAACAGTACGGGCAAGAATATGGGCAAAGACATTGACTTCTTGTTCTTTCCACTGTGAGGTAAAACCCAATAAATCCCTTCTCATGTGAATGCTGCCTCATTAGAGAACAACATGTTCTGGAGGTTTGGCTGTGTTCTTCTCTCTCACGTGGAGTTCTGGTGTGATGCACGATTGAGTGAGTTTTACCAGGCTAATCTAGTACTAGTGGTTGTTATGCTCTCTAGAGGACAGCAGTGGGGGGAATGGAGCAGAACGGGCTTCATGATGGTTGGTGTGTTTGAAGTGGATCTGAATGATGAAAATGGGATCATTTAGGTAGGTTTAATGCGTGTGAGCGTGAATGTGTGTGTCTGATCTCCATCTGGTGTGTGTAGGAGAAGTGGAGGAAAGAAAGATCTGGTATGAGAGTGAGAGAGTTGAGTTCAGCCCTGTGAGAGCTCTGGCTTGGTTGTCACTCTACATTGCCAACATGAGCTCACAGCAATTACATCTAACTCAATTCAGCAGGCTTCTCTTGCCCTCCTTCCTTTTTTCCCTCTTTTCGCTCTCCTCATTCGGCATGTATCTCACTTTTCTCTTCCCGTCCCTCTTTTCTCCACCATTAAACACTTCCTACATGCCTGACACTGCTTTTAACTGTAGAAACCCTTTATAAATGTAATCCATTACTGTACTCTGATTATAAGCTCTCTGCCATTCACTCGTCTTTTTAAAAACATTTCCCACTAGAACTTTGACTAGCCTCTTTAAAAACTCGCTTTCATTCGGTTTACTAAAAGCTGTCACCTTTGCCCACAGAGAAAGCACAAGCTTCCTTGCATTCTGAAGTTACATTAGGCCACTCTAGTGTATGCATTTCTTTTGGGACTTGACACCAGTGGCCTGATCCAAACTTCTCACATGGTGGAGTAAAATATTGCAGAAACTGTCAGAATAACTCATTTGATGTGAGAATTTGTACCAGACATAGACATAGTCATTGACATAGCAGACGGAAACCAGGTTTGCACCAGCCAGAGTAACTTAGCCAAACTTCTGCTTTGGCTGTCCTCAGAGAGTTTTTCTGTCAGCCGAATGATGAAAACATACATTCATATCTCCCTAATGTCAAATATTGTTTTGATGGAGAACCTGCAGTTTTAACGGTGTGTTCTCTGTCTAATATACATTTGTCTCTTGACCATATGTGAACCTTTTTTTTTTTAAGTTTAAAGTGCACAGAGATGTAGTAAGATGGTATGCTAACTGCTGCTGAACGCTGTTGGAAGACAGAGCGCTGACTGGTATGTCCAGCTGGTACACGCTAAAAAAAATCAATTTTCAAAATCCAGATACCATCTTAAACTGGATTTAGCAAAGTAAACGAATTCCAGCAGGCTAAACACAGAATCAGCTGAATGGTATCTGACATTAAAAGATTATTATTATTATTATTTTAAATCCTTAACATTTAATTTAAATCCTTAACATTTTAATTTAACATTTAAACAAGACCATTATTTTTAGTTACTTTCTTCTTCGCTTCCAATTGTAAACACTAGGGGTCGCCATTTGTTCAAATGTAGTTTTAAACAGCGCAAAGAAATGCAAGTCAACGGTCCCTCGAGAAAAATAGTCCCGTCGGGAGCAGTTTCAGTCAAAAACGAAATCAACTAGGGTACGTCTAAGAATATGCATCACTGTAATCTCATTTCGCCCATGTGCCATATTTAGGCCTGTCACAATAACAACTTTTTGATAACAACTGGGCCTATTGCCCCAGAAATAATTGCGATAAGCGATATTATTGTCATTTTAAAAACCATTTTATGCCACTGAATATATAATCATAATGTAACAGCATAATAATGCAAGAAGGCCTACACACTTCCAAATGACAACCAACTTTTAATTTTTAAGAATATTTAAATCATGGAAATTAAGTATCAAAATATTACATACCTTAAAAAACCTGAATAAATAGTAAATAAAAATGTTTTAACAAAAAGTGCAAAGTAACAAGTACAAAAATGCACAAAGAACTTGTATGGAGATTTTTAGTATCAAAATATTAGATAACTTAAAAAAAATCTGAATAAATAGTAGGCTAAATAAACATTTTCTAACAAAAAGTGCAAAGTAGAAAAAAAGAAAAATGCACAAAGAACTTGTATGGAGATTTTTCCATCTACAGACTTTTTCCTGGCCTACTTTTCTCTGTAAATTAAGGGTGCACACTATTGCTGAAAAACACAATCCCTACTTATCAGTCAGATGTCCG